TGTTCTTCCTGTTGGCTTTCTGGGGGTGGGGGCTGCTGCCCTGACTCTTAGATGTCTTTCCTGGGAGTAGTTCCCCTCCCCTTGTAAGTGGACCAGACTTCAGTGTAAGCAGTTTTAGTAGCTCTGAGTGGCGTTTGATCTCTGAAGGCTTTTCATGCCCCTTTAGAGGATCAAAGTAAAAATGGCCATGCCTGGGGCTCCTGGGTGGCTAGGTGGGTTAAGCCTCTGCCTTCGGCTCAGGTCATGATCCCAGGGTCCTGGGATTGAGCCCCACATTGGGCTCTCTGCTCAGCGGGGAGCCTGCTTCTCCCCTCTCTCTGCCTGCCTCTCTGCCTACTTGTGATCTCTGTCTGTCAAATAAATAAATACAATCTTTGAAAAAAAAAATGGCCATGCCCGATCTCCAGCCCCAGAGCTGAAAGATGGTGGTCCCCTCTCTCAGGGATAAGCAGTCTTCACTTTGTATGTGCCAAACTCTGCAGACTCCTGCAGTGTGTGTCCACACTGATCCTCCCAGGGGAAGGTGGATGGTTGTCATTAACATCATTTAAAAGGCTCCCACACAGAGAGTTGTTGCCTGATCCCACACACATCTGCTCTGCCCCTCCCAGGAGAAGGCAGAGGGTCCCCATATTCTTGTCCTTTGCAGGGTCTCCATGCAGAGAGCAGTCACCCCATCAGGACACAGCTTGTGATTTATGGCAAACAGCTCAGAGCCTCCTCCAGAGCTTGCTGACAACTAGTTTCTCTGCTCCAATGTATGGGAACTCTACTGGCTCAGGCACCCCCATTCTTTCTATGGTTCAGGGGATCCTGAGACCACACTGTCCCACCTGGGATTCTGCCCTACTTCACCTGGTAAGCACCTTTAACGCAGGGATGTCTTTCACTGGAACACATTTCTACAGGTTCCAATTTTGTGTTCTGGGGCTATTTCACTTTCCCATAGCTGATTTATGGAGGATCCCTTCCCTGCCCTTTATCTTCCGATATCTCCCCTGAGTTTCACTTCCCTACACCTACTTTTCTACTTGCAGAGATTCAGCAATTCTTTTCTTACATCTCAGGTTGAATTCATAGGTGTTCAGAATGATAGGATTGTCCATCCACTTCTCTGTAAATGGGAAGACTTTATTTTTTAATGGATAAATAATAGCCCATCCTCTACATATGTACCACATTTTTTTTATCCATTCATCAGTTGATGGACATTAGGGCTCATTCCATATTTGGCTATTGTTGATAACGCTGCTATAAATATTAAGGTGCATGTATCCTTTGGAATAATTTTTTTTTATTCTTTGGGTAAATATCTAGTATTACAATTATTGGATCATATGGCAGTTCTATTTTTAACTTTTTGAGTCACCTTCATACTGTTTTCAAGTACAGTCCCAATTTGCTTTCCTACAAACAAGGTAAGAAGGAGTACCATGGATCTTAGATACAACATACACAATGTGCTAGTGGGTAGAGCACTTAACTGTTTGGAGTTTTAAAGATCCCATTTATTTTTTGTTAGTTTTTTTTATTCATTTGTTTATTTAGTGTTTTTTGTAAGCTAGTCTTTTACCTCATGGACATATTAAAAGAACACAACAGTACTGATGTAATTGAACTATGGATACCAGCAGTACCCAAATAACTAGGGATTAGGACAGGAATTGAACCAGTAGACCTCCAAGAATGGGGACTGCAGCCTGATTCCACACACATGGAGAACTGTAACTGCCACCAACGGTTCCCAAATCAGAATCTGAGTTCAGAACCAAGGGCTAGGTTTAACTTACTATGGACTATTCAATAGTGTGCCCTGTACACACAACCACAAATTTCCATCGTGGACTAAACCAGCAGGTTCCATTATTGAAGACTGCAGACAGGAAATAGGGAACAGACTAAGCCAGCAAAGACCAGTAAATACAGACTATGGCCTGGAACTAGGGAAGGGATTCCAGTGTGGACTTGTGGATTGAACCAAAGCCCAAGAATGTTACTCTGTCAGAGCCTATGTGTCAGTGACACAGTGATCCACTAACCCTGGGTTGGAAAGGCAATTCTTTCACAAGTTCTCGTGCAAAACAGAGCAGAGCCCAAAGGAAGATGGACTTACCAATGACCCTTGTAAATGTTGAGAAAGAGTGAACTCAAAAGGATTCATTGGGCACCACACCTGTGTTTCTTGTTGTCCCCAAATAGAGTCAGAAGTTTGCTTAGGCTCTACACACTGTCACTAAATATGTTAAACAAAAGAATTGAACCAAGTAATTCTAACAACCTAATTGACTTTATTAAGTGATTTTTGAATTGGGTAATATCCCATCTAGGAAGTAGAAAGGAGCTCCATTTTGCTATAGAAAAGAAAAGGTTTTAAAATGAGGAGAGAAAGCAGAAAATCAATTATTAGGAAAACAATTATTAGGAAAGAATCCTTGTTTTAGGCTCAGTTGCCATCCTAAGGAGAGAGAAGAAGATCTGTCAGTATAGTTTTTAGTGCTGACCAGGAAACTGCCAAGTTGACTGCTGTAAGATTACATCCCTGGGGGTTGAAACTGCTGTTAGATACTAAGTCTTGGTTTACTGACTTTGGGCTTTAACTTAAATGGACCCATTATGACTCTGTGGCTTTCTTTTTAACACATCTCTCCATAGAACTATAAATCCTGTGTGTCTCACACTGACTTCATTTTGAGTCCTACTTTTATCTCTCACCACCTCATTGTGTGCTCTGCCTTTGCTTCCTGAGACAGAGCTCTGCCCTTGGAAGAGAGCCCTCACCTTGAATTCTAGGTCTGAACATTGCTAACAGTAAGACCCTCGTTGCCTTTCTCTTAACCTCATCATTTATTTGATTTTTTATTTGAAGTTGGAAATTATTATATGTCCATATAGGATTGTTAAGAGGATGAGATGAGGAATGTATGTAGAGATGCACATCTAAGGTTTACTGGCATGGATTTCTTACATTCTCTGCCATTTCTATTCTAGCTACAGAGAACACAGTGCCAGAAGGTGAGTACAAGCTCCCAGGGATATCATAAGGTACTCTGCCCCTGCCCCCCTGCACTGCTGTTGCAGCAGAAAATAATAAATAACAGAGCTTCACATACAACAGCAGGTGAGGTATAGAACCTATAGAAGAATAGGGCATGGCTTTCGTGGAGTTGAAATTTGCTCAGCACACAGAATTTCACTTTCCATGTCTGCTTACTCTCTAACTCTGTCATTTGGTTCCCTTTATTTCCCTTTATTTGTTCCATTCCTTAGGACCTGTCTCAGGCGTATTTCCTCACCCTCCAATGCATTCTTTTATCTAGAAAGTGGGCTGGCTCATGAAACAAGTTGTTTCAAGGAGTCTTTCTGTTTTTCCTCCCCCATCCTCTGAGAATGCACAGGCAGGACACTATACCAGAAGGAGTTGTAGTCTCACTATGTTGGCTTGCCCTTGAGGCCAAGCTTGTATATGCCACTTCCACACTCAGGCTCCTTCAATCTGCTTTGTGAGAGGCTTGCTCCCCAGAGGGGTGCTGGGATGGTTTTCTCTCCACACAGCAAGAGGTTGTCCCTGCACATGCCAGATGCTCAGGATTTCCTTTCTTCTGTATGTGAAGAATATTCCTGCTGGGTAGTCGGATGTGCTGGCACCATGATTCCTGGTTGTTTAATAGTTGCCTCTTTCACCCTTGACAAGCTAGACACCCTCCCCCCAGTTTTCTCTTCTAAGGAGAATGTCTGCAGGCTGCATTCATATGTGTGCAAGTCCAGACAATGTACACTTGGTCTGAATAATTTCTTCCAAAAATATCTTTTGCCATCGTCTCCTGGGCTGCAGCAACGGCTAGCCGAAAGCCCCCGGAGGATGTCTGATCCCTCATTTTAGCCAAAGCACACCTCTCCAGCCTGCATGCTGCTCAGACATCAGTGGTGACTTGAAGTGACTTGCATCCTGGTCTGAAAACTCTGCTCTCAATCTCTGTAGGGGACAGTATACAAATATTTCACATTACCTTTAGTGCTGGATATATGATTCTTCTGGTGCCCCCTCTCAAGATATAAGCTTCCAGTGATCAGATAGGTTCAGGGATTCAAGAACAAGCTCAGTTCCATTCATATCAGAGAAAGTGACAGAAGCCCCTGCTTCAGTCTTTGTTCACATGATCTTTTACATCATTGGCACTCTATACATCAGTCAGTCTTCCAGGAGGATTATCTCCCCTGCATGATTTCTATCCACTTTTATGCACAGGTATGAAGGAGGTGATGGGTGGGGTCCTAGAACAGTTGGGATGGGTCATAGCAAGTGGATAGTCCAACATACTTTTTATAACATGGGAACCCATGCCACCTGCTGTTGCTTTTCCATGAAATACAAAGAGTCCTTTCAAAACTTTCATGAGCCAGCACACTTTCTAGATAAAAGAAAAAACTAGATAAAAACTAGATTAAAAAACACACACACAAAAGAAAACTAGATAAAAAACACATTTGCAATCATTGAAAGTTTCTCCTAATGAAGATATACAGTATCTTTTCTGAGAAAGAAAGGAGCCACTCATCCTTACTTAGGTGTCTGATGTGAGAAAGAAGTTCTATGACATGGTGTTGGAGGTTATCAGAAGTGGGTTTTCTGGAGGGTCTTACATCACAGTGGGAAGGGGTGTTGCGATAACTGCTGGTGCTGTCTTAGATTCGCTACGATGAAAAAGTAATATTTTCATAACATTACAAGCAAAGTAAACTAAAGCAAGATAAATAAGAATGATGTGGGCTTCTAGAAAAGTTTGGATTGAAGAATCAGGCTGTAAAATTAGTCTGGAAGAATGAAGAGTGTCTTATAGAAGAAGGGCTTTCCAAGATAAGGGAAGAGCCTGAACAAAAGCAATGACTGGACAGAAAGAGAACCGCTCCTGGGTGCAATGTTGTGGCCAGGACTGACATTATATCCGTCCCTAACAGCACAGCCCATGCCATTCCTTGCTGTACTAACTTTTTCCTTCCCTTTTTTTCTCCTCCCCATAGTGCCTTCTACTGCTCCAGCCATGGGTCAGTCCCTCTCTTCCACAACCTCTTATACAAAGGGTAGTGATTTGGCCTCCGGCTTTGACAAGTTTTTTAAGAACTTCAAGCCAGAAAGCAAAATCCTCTCTCAGGAAACCATCGCATTGATTGAAACACACCTGAAGGCGGGGGACATTCCCAGATTGGCTTCTGTAATTAGTGATGCATTGAGAGACATTGACAATGCCCCTCTAAACATTGCTGTGACCGGGGAGCCTGGAACAGGGAAGTCCAGTTTCATAAATGCCCTGCGGGGGGTGAGGCACGATGAAGAAGGGGCTGCCCCCACCGGGGCAGTGGAGACAACCTTGGAGAGAATAGCATACAAACACCCAAAACTTCCCAGTGTGACATTTTGGGATCTTCCTGGTATGATGACCACTACCTTTCAGCCACAGAAGTATCTGAAGAAGATGAAATTTGGTGAGTATGACTTCTTTATTATCATCTCTTCTACACGCTTCAAAATTAGTGATGCTCATCTGGCTGAAGCAATTAGAAAAATGAAGAAGAATTTCTACTTTGTTCGAACTAAAGTGGACAGTGATTTACATAGTGCAAAAATAAGTAAACCCAGCACATTCAATAAGGATGAAATCCTGCAAAGGATCCGCAGTGACTGTGTGACTCAGTTGGAGAATGCTAATATGGGTGACACTCAGGTCTTCTTAATCTCCAGCTTTGATTTGTCTGATTATGACTTCCCACACCTGGAGACCACCTTTCTGAGGGAGCTCCCAGCCCACAAGCGCCACATCTTCATGCAATACCTGCCGAATATTACCGAGGCCGCCATTGACCGGAAGAGGGATTCCCTGAAACAGAAGGTCTGGCTGGAGGCCCTGAAGGCTGGAGCATCAGCCACCATCCCTTTCATGGGTTTTATCAGTGATAATGATGTGGAGAAGCTGGAGGAGACTTTAACCCTCTACAGGTCTTACTTTGGGCTGGATGATGCATCCCTGGAAACTATAGCCAAGGACTTGCATGTGTCAGCGGAGAAAGTCAAGGAAAACCTCACCTCTCCCCATTTGCTATCAGCTGAGAAGGGTGATGAGTCATTAGGAGAAAAACTGTTGAGATATATGGAAAACTTCTGTGCTGTTACTGGAGGACCCATTGCCAGTGGTATTTACTTTAGGAAGATATTCTACTTGCAAAATTATTTCCTTGAGTCCGTGGTGAATGATGCGAAAGTTCTTCTTAAAAAACAAGATATTTTTAAGGACCCTGTTGAATCTGGGCAATCCTATCTACCTCAGGATGTCAGGAATGAAAATGGGGAAAATGAGGCAGCCAGATCCTGAATTATTCTCAGTATTGGCATGGCACGGGGACCTGGAAGGATGACTTAAGACTTCCCTGAAGCAATCCTGACCCACTCCCCTCAAGGTGTTTCACCGACGTTTCCATAATTCACTCTGGAGCAAACCATGAACTTAATGACTGTTATTTGACAGTGAGAACAATCAGCTCTAAAGATTCTTTTCATATGATCTTTCCTGGGAAAATGAATGACAGGAGTCTGGAATTTTCTGCTGAGTTGAGAGAATATCTCTTTGTGTGTTGGTTACTACATACCCAGCGCTGGTCTTTCTACTGACATAGTAATGAGAAAAGGCTGTTCACACAGATCTTCAGAAATTATTTTTTAAATGATCGCATACATAGTCTATTTTTGGCATTCCTGTTATTCTGTTGTGAAGGCAGAAATTCTGCTCAGTTAATGTTGACTGATATCCTACTTGTCCTTTCTAGGATTATCATTATATTTAATA